ATAATATACCTCTTCATATCCGGTCACATGGGCGGCAAGCCACTCCCATCCAGTCCCATGGGTGGCAAGCCGCTCCCACAAAAGAGGCCACACCCACAGAGTAGGTTTGAACAATTTTTGAAACCCACCACTGGTGGGAACAGTCGTCTTGTCTAAGACTGCATTTACACAACCCTGGGCTTGATTCGATCTGTGTCTCTTTTTATGTGCTTAACTACTAAACGCCTTACAGCCATATCAAGAGGTATATTATCTCCCACCCACCCCCCCCGTACCTGTAAGGATCCTTTCCGCATTTGCGCTGTACTGTTCGGCATTTTGTGCTATCAAACGAGCTGTTGCCAAATGTTTCAGCATGATATCACAGCTTTGGTCAGTGTTTTCCCACACATCCATTCCCTCGAAGACCACAGTTTGCCGTTCCAGCAGCGTAACCAGAGGCATCAGCAATGGCACAGCGATGACGTTTTGCGACACACAGGTGACCTCTGAAAATAAGAAATGGAAAGCGTCTGAAGTTAGCGCCATGGCTACAATCAATTGATCTATTAACTAGATTAGGGGTGTCAAACTCACTTCGTCACGGCAGCATCACATGACGTATTGGGACTTTCCCCCCCCCTCTTTGCTAAACTGGGCGTGGCCACCGCCAGCACGTGATACATCTGGTCCATGGGCTGGGAGATTGACAACCCTGAATTAGACTACAGCCTGCAACTTCATCTACCAAGTGAAGAATCTAATAGATCCTGTTCTGACCCCCTCCTCGGTCCAGTAACGAATGCCGAGACAAGCTTAAGTGGAATGTACTTTAATAGCAAGACACCAACACCTCAGTGGCTGAAAGCCAAGCAGAACAAACAGATAAGGACCTTGACAGCAACTCAGCCAATGGCTTTGCTTGTCAGAAGGTCCCAATAGGTGATCACATGATCCTAGGTTAGTGTAACCATAATAAATATGAGTCAGTTGCCAAGCATCCAATTTTTTTATTATATGACCAAGGGAATGCCACAACGGTCGTATGAAAAACGGTCATAGGTTTTAACACCGTTGCAACTTTGAACGCCCACTAAATGGACTGTTGTTCAGTTGAGGACTACCTGTGTTGGAGTTTTTTGGAGAAAAAAAACCCAGAGAAAGCCTATCCGAGGACTTTTTCATAGAACTCAAAAGGTAAAGCTTCCCCTGATACATATGTGCTAGTCATTCCCAACTGTAGGGGGCGCTGCTCATCTCTGTTTCAAAGCCGAAGAGCCAGCGCTGTCTGAAGACATCTCCGTGGTCATGTAGCTGGCGTGACTAAATGCCGAAGGTAACACTGTTACCTTCCCACCAAATGTGATTCCTATTTTTCTACTTGCATTTTTACATGCTTTCGATCTGCTAGGCTGGCAGAAGCTGGGACAAGTAACGGGAGCTCCCTCCGTCCCGCGGCCCTAGGGATTCAAACTGCCGAACTGCTGATCTTTCTGAACGACAAGCTCAGCATCTTCGCCCCTGAGCCGCCGTGTCCCGTCTCCTAACGTAATGTAAGTCATAGAACTTACACATGAGCAATTGTACATGTGTTATTTGGCTGCAGAATCTCTATTCTTCTCCAGGCGAGATAAATAACAAAATCAAAGCAGGATGTAATTAAGTCAAATATATTCTGCCCATTTGCCGTCCTTGATAGGATGTGACTTTTTTACACGCTTTCCATTAGGGGAATAACGGATGCACCCTTAAGGCCTTAATTGGAATCCCTCCACAACAATGAAAAATGTTATGTAACTAAATATCCACGCACTCACCTTTTCCTTCATGTAAGAGTTTGCTGAAAGGTTTCAGCTGTTTCTCGTACATAATGGCTGTTTGGGTATAACAGTGCCTCAAGCTGGTCCATGTTTGCTCCAACCGTGCGATCTACAGAGGGCAAAAGAGGAAAGCTATGATGTAAGCTTTCCTGTTATATGTTACAATATCTTCTCATTGAACATAGCGCAATGGAAGATGGCTTCCATCAAAACCAAGGCATGGCAATAGCAATACCAGTTAGACTTATATACCGCTTCATAGGGCTTTCAGCCCTCTCTAAGCGGTAAGCATATTGCCCCCAACAACAATCCGGGTCCTCATTTTACCCACCTCGGAAGGATGGAAGGCTGAGTCAACCTTGAGCCGGTGAGATTAGAACCGCTGAACTGCAGATAACAGTCAGCTGAAGTGGCCTGCAGTACTGCACCCTAACCACTGCGCCACCTCGGCTCTATCTGGCAAGATAAGCAGGGAGGGGGCGGTGCTAAGTTCTTTTTCACAGCCCTCCCTCCCTCGACTAGGATGACGGGGGCACTTAAAAAGAATTTCAAAGGTAGATTTTTGCCTATGATTTCAGGTGGGCTTTTCCCAGGCGGTGGGGTCCGGATCCCGTTGCAACCGGTACGCTGCAACGGTGCCCAGCGTCCACCACGTGAACGTGCACAGCGTGCGCAAGTGTACTTAACACCCGTGATGCTCCAGCTGCTCGGCACAGCGTCGTACGCCCCATGAGCATGTGCAAAAGCCCCGGTCAGATCAAATAGCAGTGAGCGGGCGGGCAGGTGGGCCCTCCGGAGCACCGTACTGGAGCAGTAGCTGGTCCCCCCAGCAGGTGCTGGTACGCCCGTACTAGGGCATATCCCACTACTGCAGTCGTTCTACAACCCAGTACATGTGAAAAATCTCATGCTTGATTCCCTTAAGTCCGCAGTTCATTTCAATAAATATTCAGCTGCCAGCTGGGAGTAGCGAACAGGGAGATCTGCAGAGGCAGATCTAATGGACCTTGGCAACAGTTGATTTCCTTTGCATACTATTGGCCTTTCAAAAAATATTCAGTATCCCGAATGTCCGTGTATAAGATTTCCATTTTACCTGAGGCATTTCCAGAGCTTTCATTATAGCTGAGAAGGCATACAGATCCCCCATGGAGTCTTTGAGTTCGACTGCAACCTGGATAATCCTGTTTAATGTTGCAACACGCTCTTCTAAATTCCCCGTGCAGCCAAGAATATCCACCGCAATTCCTATTGCCATTGTAGTATGCCTGGAGAGAAAGCAAATCGGGTGTAGTCAGGGCTACCAAAAAGATACTACACTCCCTGTGAATTCAAGCAATCTGAATTCTGGAATCTTGGCATCACTATATTCCCATTATCATAGCAGTTAGACTTATATACCGCTTCATAGGGCTTTCAGCCCTCTCTAAGCGGTTTATAGAGTCGAAAAAATGCCCCCACAATATGAGTCCTCATTTTAACAGCCTCGTAAAGGCTCATTCACAGCTCAGCCGGTGGGACTTTAAC